ATTACAAGATTTATGTCTGCAAATCTAAACCTACCTAAGAATTATAATTATGTAAATAGAGAGCTGTATATTTATATACAGGCTGCCCAGCGACGGGGAGACATTATCGATATCGGTTTTAAGGCATTTTAAAACATAAACCCGATCTCAACAATCTTAGGAACTCTTCTGTCACTCGATATTTTAATCGGTACTTCCTCTTCTCTTTTTGGCTGGCACAACAATTATTTACATTTCTTCATTCCTTACCGCGTTCGAACCAGTAAGGTTTAAAGAAATTTAAAAAAAAACCTACTTTAAAAATAAAGATGTTAATGATTTTCTTATGGATCCCATCTTCAGATCTTGACTTAATGTATATAAAACTGTTTCCTTTTCTAACAAAAAGAATCCTATAAATCGGGCAACGTGGTAAAGAATTATCGCTCAACATACATAAAAAAATATTTCAACGAATTGAGAATATCCTACCATTTTGAAGTATGTTAAAAAAAATTGTTAATAAAGTGAAAAGTAGGGCATGAACATATATTATAAAGTATATAAAATGATAGATAAATCCAGTTTAGAAGGTATTATAAATAAACTGTGGAAATATCGAGAATCTCGATTTTGAATCGGAAAAATATTCTACGCAATTTAGTATGAAAGCTGATCAAAATGAAACACATGAACGACAAACTGTTATTGACAACTTTCTTCAAACGTTTTCTAGTTTTCCGAAAACTAACTAGATAGTTCGAAAATCCTTCGTTAAAACGCCTCTTGTTCCGAAAAAGGTACACGCCTGTCAACATTCATCGTTCATTAAAAAAGTGGTAGATACAAAAAGCTTCGTATTGTAAGGCCAAAATATATTTAGAAATCGAAATAGTCATATAAACAAAAAAATCATATGAGTGAGATAACTACCAAATTAATGATTTACAAGTTTATTCCTATTATTTATAAAATAGGTTTGCAATGTGCTGGCGTGGAATGTTATCATCCACTAAAAACTTTAAATCTTTGTATTAAATTGATCGAAGACAAACTATAAATTGGTTTAGGCTATATAGAATGTTTCTAGTAAGCAGCAACTAATTTTTATTATGGAACCGAAAGATGCTTTTAAAAGGGTTCAAAATTAAAATAAAATATGTACCAAGTAAATGTAGTAGTATTTTTTAATTTATATTGAAAATGATAACATGAAAGGTTTTCTGTCTAACGACTCATAGTCTCGGCTGACAAAATGTAAAAAAATATCGAACATAATATTCCTGGGCCCTATTTTGCACTCCCCAGATTAAATTTAGTTGTAGCAAATGATATTATCAAATAAGATGTCAAATCACAAGCAAAATCTCGTGACTACAGTACTAATGATTGCCTGTTTGGAAAAGTATCTTTGTTTGTAAATATTTATATGCATAGTTATATTTAAATGCGCGAGTGTAATGTTAAGTATAAACAAAATCCGCCCATTATGTATATACGTTTAGTTACCGACCCTAGTAGATAGGCAATTTGTTATTGTTTTAAGTTTTACCATAGGGAGAGAGAAAATCAATTTTAGGATAAATGGTCCAGCTCCTTTCTGGTTACGTAGGTACCTAAAAAGTATTTTAGTTTTTGGTTAAGTAATTAATTATTGTAACAGTGATTTTCTTGTGATAGTACCTAATTTAGATTGTGGATTAAAGTTTTTGTATATCATTTCGCTGTTTAATAATAAACGTAGTCAAAACCGGAGCAAGTGGTTTTTCTGGAAAGTATTTTTAAAATCACAAGCAAAATCTCATGACTACTGTACTAATGATTGCCGAAAATTAACTAATTCATATTTTATGCCATATCTTTCTTAATAAGGACTGTCAGAACCATATTTACCTTAACTTGAAATTTTTTTAATCGTTTTTTGTATAGAATCATCTTTAAAAATCTATGATTGAAATATCGTGTGAACAAATATGTTCGATCAATAAAAAACTTGCACCGGTCCTGTTCGCGCCAGCACCGTTATACGCATGAGCTCCGACACACTATTTTCTCCTTATGGTTTCATTTTTGATATATGGAATCGGCTTTCTATACTATTTCTATGAATTTTACCCATCGTGTTGAGTAGGGTAATTTTTACTCGACTTGCGCAGTATGTCATAGCCCTAATTAACCTAAGAGAACCACCTAGTATTTTATTTCCTATTTTTACTTTTTGAGTAAAACATTTAAATATGATTATGAGTGAGAGAATTAATTCCATCAATTATCGTTTAGTTGTCGGAAACGATGGTAATTTTATTATACATAATGATAAAATTTTATGACACAGAATTAAAGGTAATGAATTGAATTTTTACATAAAAAAGTCTATGTGGACGTCAATTATGTTACCTATTTACTAATTTTTGATAATTCCTACAATGTAAGATAACAGGGGGGGCTATTTTCAAAGTATGGGAGCACTCATTTCTCTCAAGATTCTCATTAGAAATGTCATACGTCAATGTGGAAACGCTGTTTTTAAAGGCCTCGAGGATTAAAATTCTTATGAGGATATTAATTATCTCTAAATAAACCGTGAGAAACAATCAGTGAGTTCACACTGGCCCTTAGGACCCTAAAAATACTGTTTTACGTTGACGTATGACATTTCTCTCGAGAGAAATGAATTCTCTCGACTTTGAAAATAGCCCCTCAGAAAAGACATAACCAAAAACTTGATTTGACGCTCTCCATTTCTGAACGCTCCCCTGAATCCGATCCCGAGCTCAGAAATGGCCCTCCACGACTGTAATTGGCCCCAGGGGCCAAAAAGGCCTCTATATGGCCTGAAAGGTGGATTCCGAGATGAGGCGTGGTTAAAGGTGCATTCTAAAACTAAAATCATGTTTGTAGTCTAAAACTTCACGGACAACTGGAATTCCTCACGCAGGCCGGGAAAATGGCCCGATAGGGACCGGGAAAATGGTCCATCAGGGGCCGGAAAATCGTGTTTCAGACGTCGCAATGACATTGGTGGTATTTTTATGTACTTTTGAATTCTGGAATGAATACCGTGCTCAAAATATTTATGGCCAGTGTAATTCCCCGTTTGGGACCGGGAAAATCGTGTCTTGGACGTTGCAATGGCTACAGTGGAATTTTTATGTCCTAGTTCCCGAACTCAGACTATGCTTGAAAAGTTTATGGCCAACTGGAATTCCTCCTTTGGGAAATCGGAAAGTCGTGTTTGGGACGTAGTAATCGAGTGGGATTCTCATGAAAATTGGGTGAAGCCAATGTTCTTCTACTCTGCGAATAGATTTAACGTCGAAAAGGTTTCATCACGCTCGGTTACGGCCTTAATTCAAGAATTAATTCTATGTGATAGTTTTCCCCGGTATCTAAAAGATCCCGAATGCCTTTAATCGATTCTAATGCGTCTATCCTTTACCCATGTATTCCTCTACACTCGACTGTATAAAGTCCCCGACTTTACTTCCTTATACAGAAGTATATACATACAGTGAGGTAGGTTATATGGGGATCTCTAACAAGACACAGTAGTCTCAATTGTGTGAGGAAAACCCGCTCATATGACGTTCAGGCCGGAGTTCCGGTACACCAGGTCTCCGGAAGTACGTTTTCGTGATGGAATTTAGATTCCGCGTGCCTAAAAACCCCCATGACGATTTTCGGTTTATCTTTAGCTATTATGTCTGGAGAACCCTCGGAGACGACGTGTTGGTGCATTAGGTGTTCGGGGATCGTTTTCGACGTGAAATTTGTATAAAGGGCCCAAAAAAATACCCCTACAAGATTTTTCGGTTTGGTTTTGGTAATAAACTCCTCGGAGATGACGTCCACGTGCTGATTCCAGCGCACCAGGTGTCCAGGGGGTATTCGCGGATGTTATATTTGAATTCAGCAACCCAAAAAACCCCCGAGCGCCGAGTTTCTCTTCTTACCTGCATGAATTTTGAGATAGTCCTCGTAGATAATATTCATCGACGTTCTTGAGCTCCAGGTCATCTGTGGTTTAATTGGAACATCATAATCGTGAGCAGCGACCTCGAAATCTCTCAGGAACTCGATTTGGATGCCTCTTCCACCTTTCAGGCCATATAGAGGCAATTTATGGCCAATTCCAGACGTGGAGGGCCATTTCTGAGCTCGGAATCTGATTCAGCGTCGAAAAATACATGGGAATACATATGTCCGACCGCCAAGTCTAAACAATTTTTTTTATTTGTGGGGCTGTGTTATCTGTAGGAAGGATGCATGAATAGCTGTACATTATTGCAAGTTTTGATTCAATTTTTCCCGGAAAACTGTCTGTTTTCCGCATTTTTTTTTTGAAAATAACATATTTTTAGTGTTTAAACATAATTTTAAAAATTCCGACATCCCTAATGTTATTCGGAACCACCAACCCGCGATGGCTTCATGTTAGGTAAATTAGTTAAGTGTTTTTAAGTTAAGTCAATTTTTCTTTAAATAAAAACTTTCTTAATTCTTTTTTAAATATTTTCTTTGTACTTTTTATTTTTTCATAAATCTACATTTAAAGAATGTTTCAATATTGATAATATTAAAGTATTTTAGCTTGTTTATAACTGAAATCGAACTATTGACAACAATGTATGAAAATGACAAGATATTAGATTAGAAACATCAATACATTGCAAGTTTTGATTCAATTTTTCTCGGAAAAATTGCAGTTTTTCGCAATTTTTTTTTTTTGAAAATAACTTTAAAATATGTACTTTTTAGTGTACAAACGTTTTTTCGAAATTCCAACATCCCTAATATTATATGGAACCAAATACATTTTATCGTCGACTACTTTTCCTTACATGTCCAAAAATTACTTTTTATGAAGTCCATCACTATTTAATTTATTTTTTTTAATACTAACTCCCTGGTTTATTATTACTTTATTAATTAAAAAGACATTAAAGGTAATATCGAAAGAGACGAATTTGCTGCGCCACAAGACAGTAAATATAAATTCCTAATTACAATTATTACATATGCTATCCCAGTTTGGTTCCAAACTCATGTAAAATATCACACGCCATATCGACGTTATTCCTCGTGATTCCCAGCGCTTTAATAACAGAATCGCGAGAATAACCCTCGCTCACCAACTTTTTAATATAATCCATATTTATATTTTCATAGGAAACATTCGTCTCCCTTTCTAAAGGATTAATTCGTTGTTGTATTTTCGGAGGCACCTCTAATTCTATGTTTTCGTATTGCAAGGCGTGACTATCTTGGCTGATATTCGGTGTCGTATTGGACTTAGGAGGTCTGGGAGCTTTAGGTTGGCTTCGATTTGATGGACAACTTAAATGACGGTTAGGAAGTTTGGTTTCTGTCGTCGCTATACTACCGCGATCGTAATAATCGCTGTTTTGAATCACTACACCATAAATTGTTTCTGGAGAGCTTAGTTCAACCTAGAAAATAATAAATAAGATCTTAATCGTAAGTGAGGAATAATAACAGTTGATTTTTACTAATAATCTCTATGAAATTTCACACTGTAAATTAATAAACCGCGTCGAACGACTTCTACATATAGGTTAAACAAGTATTAACTCAGGATTTACCCTACAGATTATATAATAATTCTGGAAAACCTTTATTAAAAGCCAAATTTTTAATTTTATATACATACTTCATGTTCTCCACTACTAGCCCTATGTAATTCGATATTCAGCATGGAATTGCTCTTCGGTATTTGAGGCACTTCGATGTTGCAATGCGTCAGGTTGGTCACTGATTGGGCTTCACCAAGTCTCACACCGTTTCGTATACTAGAACTAGACACTGTCGGTAAAATAGTTTGTTCATGGGTAGGAGAACTTTTTCTGGGTGGTAATGGAGGTGGTGCAGCTGGAGGAACGACTACTGGTATATTTCTGCGTAAACACCGAGGGCTATTGCCGGGGGAAATCATCGGACTTGCTGAACTCTATTAATAAATTGTATATATTTAAGAGTTATGTAGAATAATTCTTAATTATATCGATTAAATCACTCACAATGTAATAATTTGATATAATTTTAGTTGATAAAAACAGTGGTGGACTAATTTTTTTGTTGCTCTACACCTCTGCAATATAATTTTGCTCCGATTATAATTATTTAAAGTTTCACATTTACTAATATTATGAATTATTATGTTATTAAATTATAGGAAATTTCTAAAGTTATTTTAATACTAGAAACTCAAAAAGTCTTTATTACTTTTTTCTTATTCAAGCAATTTTAAAATCTATAAGAAAATGAAAAATGTTATTGTTAATTTTATCAAAAAAACGATAATAGAATAATAATTTGGTTGCACTTACCGATATTTCACTCCTAGGAATTATGGACAGGGCATGCAAACTACTTCCTGCGAAATTCCATATCTCTCCAGTATCCTGCAATAGTAATTATTAATTCAACATTTTTAATAGTAATATGATTTTCATTTTTTCCAAAACAAATAAAAGAAGGAAGAAAATACAAGGAACAGCTTATTAAAATTCTATTTTTTAACATTTTCTGTTTGAACCTCTTGATTTATACAAATTATCTACAGGGTGAGCCAATTATATCCGCTCAGCTAAACTAGAAACTCCCAATTCATTTTTATACAGCACCAAAGAAACAATTTAAAAAGTAAGTTTTGTAAATGGAATATTTTTTTATATTTATTATGGAATTAAAACAAAATTGTATTTTTTGAAATTGTATGAGTAGTCGAGGCAATGAAGCACTAAAAAGGCCGAAAGTTTGGAATTTTTTAGACTAAGACAGATCGGAATACTTCTAAAATTATTTTGGAAAAAATGTCTCTGCTTTTTATCTTATACAAACCGGAAATTGCATTGGTGCAGTCAAAAATTCATTCAAAAAATGCATTTTTTGAGACGGCTTTTAGAAGATTAAAGAACTTTGTAAATAAGAGTCAGAACTGGCCCAAATCACGTTCCCGGGAGTTTTCGAGGTCGCTGATCACGATTATGATGTTCAAATTGACCCACAGTCGACCTGGAGCTTAGGAACGCCGATGAACGTAATCTCAGTGAGACTCTCCCAAAATTCATGCAAGGAAGGAGAGAAACTCGGCACACAGGGGTTTCTTGAACACCTGGTACACCCAAACCTGGACATAGACGTCATTCTTGAGAATTTTCTTGACAATTGCCAAAATAAACTCAAAAATCATTGTAGGGGCGTTTTGTTGAAGTGCTTAATCCAAATTTCACGCCGAAAACGATCCTCTGGACACCTGGTGCACCAGAACCTGGACGCGGACCTCATTTCCGTGGGGTTTCCTCACGCAATCGAAAAAGACGAACCGAAAATCGTTTTAGTGGGTTTTTTGAGGCGCTGAATCCGAATTTCCCGTCGAAAACGACCCCCCAACACCTGGTGCACTGGAACCTGGCCTTGAACGTCATCTCCATGGGATTCTCCCAAAAATCATGTAAGGAAGGAGAGAAACTCGGCACCCGGGGTTTTTTGGGTTGCTGAATTCAAATATAGCATCGGCGAACACGTTCCGGATACCTGGTATGCCGGAGCCTGCACGTGGACGTCATCCCCGAGAATTTTCCTATCAAGACCGCCAAAATGAACCCGAAAAATCATTGTAGGGGCTTTTTTGGGTGCTTAATCCAATTTTCACGTCAAAAACGATCCCCTAAACGCCTGGTGCACCGGAACCTGGACGCGGACCTCATCTCCGTGGGTTTTCCTCACACAATCGAAAATCGTTGTGGGAGGGGGGTTTTTGAGGCGCTGAATCCGAATTTCTCGTCGAAAACGACCCCCCAACACCTGGTGCACCGGAACCTGGCCTTGAACGTCAACTCTGTGGAACTTTCCCAAAATTCACGCAGGGAAGGAGAGAAACTCGGCGCCCAGGGGTTTTTTGGGTCGCTGAATTAAAGTGTGGCATCGTCGAACACCTTCTGGACACCTGGTGCGCCTAAACCTGGACGTAGACGTCATCCATGAGAATTTTCCTAACAAGATCGCCAAAAACAACTCGAAAATCATTGTAGGGGCGTTTTTTTGGGCGCTTAATCCAAATTTCACGTCGAAAACGATTCCCTGAACACCTGGTGCAAATTCATGCAAGAAAGGAGAGAAACTCGGCACCAGGGGGTTTTTTGGGTCACTAAATTCAAATGTAGCATCGTCGAACACCTTCCGGACACCTGGTGCGCCGGAAACCTAGACGTGGACGTCATCCCCGAGAATTTTGCCCCCCTCCTTCCATATAATCGACAGGAGTAAACTCAAAATAAAATATATGGTGTATTATTGTGGGGATAATCAATAGGATTATAAGGGAAGGCTTTTGGTACTACATACCCCCCGCCCTTTTGTGAAAAGACGTCAAGAGTGACTTCGGAATGAAGTATTATGGTCGAAGGTCGGACGCTTTGGTACCGAAAATCCCTTTCCCCACTTTCACGAAAAACAAGAGTCACCTAAAAGTGAATTTAAGATAAAATTATTTTGGTAGGGTATTTGGGACCAAAATCTGAGAGTTAATGTCTCAAATATCTCGAATACAGCTCATTTTAAAGAAATTATGTATGGGGCAAGAATTATAGAGAATGATATAACAAACAACTATTTTATAAAAAATCCGAATTTTGCACTTTATATCAAATTTTTGGAAACAATAATTTCTATACTTTCCTTATCTGTATATAAACAAGAAAGTAAAAACTACAGGGTGTTCCATTTACAAAAATTATCTCAATACCTATTTTGGTGTTACAAAGTGCACCCTATATTATTTTATAAATGCAACTTCTTTGGAGCTGTATAATATATGTAGTTATGATTAAAATGACCTTATTTTTCAACTTCTACAATCTACAACCTTTATGATGTAAATTTCTAGCCATTCAAACAAAAAATTTATCACCTCAAATAAAAAAAAAAAACTAAAACTTACCTGAAACATTACCAAAATCTCGTGAAATCATGCAAAGCTCAAAAGCGTTGCAATTGTGCCTCGTAAGCAAAGATGAATGAATACTTACTTAAAACAACAAAAAAAACAACATACAAACATAATAATGAAGCCATACATCGTTAGTGGCGAAACAAAAAATAAAACAAAATTCATGAAAAAATAATGTATTATAAATATCTAAAAAATATATTGCCATGTTACATTATTTAATAATAATTCAAATGAATAAAGTATACAATTGAAATTATTCGATATTTACAGAAATCAAAATGGAATAAAATATATTAACATTAAGTTATATAATATTTAGTATTTATATCGATTATTTTTATTAAAATACAGATTCACTGGATCTTAAATATTAAAATTTAAATAAAATTAAGTTACATGTGTAAATTAAAAAAAAAAAAAACAGTACGACCTAGCGCACCGAATTTAATACTGTCAAATAAGTAAAATTTGAATTTATTTGCACCTTTAATTCTTGAAGCGTTCTTTCTATTAATATATCTTATTTTAGGTTCTTGTATTTTTTTTAGTTGATTAATAAACCCTGCATTTATAGTAATAGAAATGTCGATGTCATAATATTTATAATATTTCAAAATTTTAAAAACCAAACAGTAAAGTAAATTTTTTTAATTGGTTTATTGCTATATGGATAGTTTAATATTGTTATTTAGCCATTTGTAGAACAAGAAATGAATTGAAATAATTTAATTCATATTTTTTTATGGCTGAGACTGGACAATACATTTTGATGATTTTAAGGTAAAAAAAATAACATTTTTTTTGTTGGAAATTGTGATTTTTCGTGTTTCAGACTAACAAAAAATACAAAGAGCGTATTTTGTAAAGACTACAATTTAGTATTTTTTTCTATTATTATACTATTAACAAAATATTAAAAAAAAATACAAGAAAATTAAAATCCGACAAAGTTTAATTGCCACAAACAGTAAGAACGCCATTTAAGCAAAAGGAAATAATTATCATGATCCTCGAATAATGAAAAGTGCGAGAAAAAATATTGGCACAAAATAAATGAAAAACATATAAAATGTGCATGCAGTAACCAAGTAAAGAATGAAATATTATTAAAGATTTTCAAGATCATCATTTTAAAAACTAAAACATTAACAATTATTATAAATAAGATAGGAAGACATCAAAATTAATTATGATTTTTAGAAAAACACAATTCGTATCTTATATTTTTGAAATAGAAGAAACTTGAATATTACACTTTACCATTTTTAAAAGGAACCTATTTAGAAGGCTCCTGTTTGAGAACGTAGAGCAATGGGAATCTCATAAACAATTCAAAGTAGATAAGTTTTCTATTGATTGGGAAAATAAAAATTGAAAACTAACGACAAATATCCAGGACCAACTATTTTCGAGTTATTTAAGAAAATCTGACTCATAAAATATTGAGAAAATTTCGAAGTGTGCCGAGTACTCGTCAATATTAGACTACGAATTCGGAGAAAATTCTCTTCTCATTTAACCCAATCTTCTTATCATGGGGCACACTGTATGTAACACATTTATTTATTAAGACTCATAACTCGTAATAAATCATTCTTCATTCAATGTAATCGCCAAGTTGATCAAACTTTAACAAATTTTTCTAATATTTTTATCGAAAATACTTTCAGCATAATTTTTCCGGTTATTTAATTTTTTTAAGCTAAAGTTTGACCACTTGTTTTAATAAGTGTCACTTTAGAGCAATAAAAGGCAACATTTCTTAACGATTCTTATGTTGTCGTTCTTTTAATACACCCAAATTAAGTTTGCTGCATTGATATAGTTTTTTCGTTGTCACGTGATCAAAAAATCTACTCACTTTATTCAAGGAGGTACATTTCAAATGTAGCATTATGTCAAAAATAAAACGTCTATAACGCGTCTTCGGACTTTGATTGCACTAAAATGTGAAATAAAAAGAGCGCAGGCATTAAAAAAAAACCATTTGTCAGGCAAAATCCAGAAACCTCACATAAAACAAATAAAACGATAAAACTCGGACAAACACATTTTGACAAAAAATAATAAATAAACAAAAGAAAAAAATAAGGACAAAGAACGTGTGAAGCACAGCCAATCGGGCAGGAATAAAAACTAAGTTTTTTTTTTTTAGGAAAATGTTAAGATCGCAATATTTAATATTAGATAATGATTTTATTTTAGAATTAATAATACCGTTTATAATTTTGAATTTTATTTTATTATCGAAAAATTACTGTTTTTAATTATCCCACCACATTGCCCTATTTTTTCCAAAGCTATTCCATTTTTTAGTTCTAAAAGTTACCTTTTCTTAAATTGACCATTTTTGAGAAAATTATCCCATTTTTGAGGAAGGTCTATCTTTTTTTTATTTCATGTTATTCCAAAATGATTGTTAAAATTACCCCATCTTTTAACTAAAGATACAACTTTCTTTTTTAAATTACCCCAAACCTCCCGTAATTTCCCCCTTCATCTCTTCAAAAAAAAAAAAAATCCTGTCTTTTGTGAGAGAATGTTGAAATGTATGAAAAGTTGCGGGGAAACTTTGGTTTCGGGTAGAGGGGGAATTGTGGGAAAATAGGAAATTATGGGGAGAATTTTTGAAAAAGGAAAATCGTAAGGAAATGTTGGAAAATTGCTAGGATATTTTGGGAGATAATATGTGGGAAGTGGAGATAATTAAGGGAAAATTGTGGGTGTACTTTGGAGAAAATTCTATAGAAAATGGGGACAATTAAGGGAAAATTGTAGGAGTATTTTGGAAGAAATTATGTGGGAAGTATAGATAAGGGAAAAACGTGGGTGAATTTTGGAGAAAATTCTACGGAAAATGGGGACAATTAAGGGAAAATTGTAGGAGTATTTTGGGAGAAATTCTGAAAAAAGTGTAGATAATTAACGGAAAAATGTAGGTGAATTTTGGAGGAAATTCTATGGAAAATGGAGATAATTAAGGGAAAATTGCGGGTACATTTTTTTAAGAAATTCTATGGACATGTAAGCGAAAATTGTTGGAAATTTTGGGGGAAATTCTGTCGGAAATAGGACCAATTAAGGGAAAATTGTGGGAAAACTGCTTGGAAATATGAGAAAAATTGTAGGGAAATGTGGTAATTATGTGGGAAAGGGGAGGAATTTAGAAAAAATGGCATGGAAATATGAGAACAATTGCTGGAAAATGTGGAAAAAATTATGAAGAAATGAGGGGAATTTGGGGAAATTGTGAGGGAAATTTAGAAGAATAAAAAAAAACCAAAAGATTACAAGATATTTTTTTTTATTTAAAAGTTTTTTTATAGAAATTCTGCGGTGAAAAATTATTGTACTAAGTTCTTCAGATACTCATTTTTTTTTCACTTAAAAGTAACCCTTTTTTTTAATTACTTAATTTTATTTGGTCAGTTATTCAGTTTTTAGAAATGTTCTAAAAAAATTACTTTATCGAAAAATTACCCTATTGTTTTTAATTACCCACTATATTACCCTATTTTTTTAAAGCTCTCCAAATTACCCCATTTGAGCATGGTTTTTAATCGTGACTATAATTTTTTATTTTCCTATCTGTATACAGATATAATGAAAGTATAGGAATCATGATTTTTTTTCGACCTCGAGATTTCGACGGATTTTTTCATTCTGGGGTTCCCTGAATCCGTTTTGACTATTTTCGCGATGATGTCTGTGTGTGTGTCTGTCTGTATCCACCATAACTCATAAACCGATACATAGAAAAACACCAAATTTTAAACTTAAGCTTTATTCCAGCGTCCAATGAATTGATTAGATTTTGGGCAGAGTCGAAACATCTGGGGGGTACTTTATAGGTGGTAATTTTTATATTTTATGGAATATATCTGTTATTTACGTTTGGAGAAGAAAATTCTTTAAATAAAAGTTACTTCTAATATAATTATCTATAATTTTTGTTCTATACAAAATTTTCCTAAAATGGTCCGTATTCGAGAAATTTGACAAAATGTAAAAAAATATAATTTTTTATAAAAATTGTTCAAATAAAAGTTGTTTGTAATATAATTCTCTATAATTTTTATTCTATACATAATTTTTTTAAAATGAACCGTATTCGAGATATTTGAGAAAATGTGTAAATTTCGAATTTTGAAGAAAACTCAAAAAAGGATATAGAAAAAACAATAAATTTTAAACTTAAGTTTTATTTCGGCCTGACGTGAAATGATTAGATTTTGGACAAAGTCGAAACATCTGGGGGGGTACTTTATGGGAGGCCGTTTTTATATTTTATGGAATATATCTGTTATTTATGTTTGGAGAAGAAAATTGTTCAAATAAAAGTTACTTCTAATATTATTATCTATATTTTTTGTATTATGTCAAAATTTCCTGAAATGGACCGTATTCGATAAATTTGACAAAATGTGCAAAATTCTGATTTTTATGAAAATTGTTGAACTAAAAATTGTTTGCGATATCGATCTCTATAATTTTTGTTTATAATGATTTTTCTAAAATGGACCGTAATGAAAAAGTGCTAAATTTAAATTTTTCAGTATTTTCGTTTTCAATGAATATCAATAGAAAAATGTTGAGGTAGATGTATGTGGAAAATGTATATATTTAGTTTATCCTCTAAACATTTATAGAGGTGCTGCTCTAGGTTGTACAAAATAACCGGAAAAGCCTATAATAACTAGATAGGAAAGTCATGTGTTGACTGACCTATAACAAATTACCCAGAAACCAGCTAATAGATGCTAGATTTCAAGTTCACGAAAAACCATCCAACCAAAGCAAAATTTCCCACAAAAAAAGTATCTAACCGAAACAAAAAATGCTATTACCTACACCTTTTTCACAAATTTCCTAATATCCCCACGTTTCCTAATTATTTTTTCCAAGTCCAAGTCACTCAACATTTTCCCACAACTACCCTCAATATTCCCAGAATTCCTTCACAATTTTTCAAGCAGTTTTCTCACATTTTCCCGCAATTTAACCACTTTCCCACATAATTTTTCCACGTTTTTTCTCAAATTCCCCCATTTCCCAGCAGTTTTCCCATATTTTTTTTCCACAATTTTCCCTTAATTTCCCACAAAATTCGCCAAAAATTTTCTTTTAATTGTCCCCATTTTCAACAGAATTTCCCTCAAAACTTTCCCTTAATTGCCCTCATTTCCCACAATTCACCGATATTTCCCCACTTTTAACAAAAATTTTCATCATAGAATTTCTATTGAAAAAAGTTTTGATCCAAAAAAAAATCAGTATCTCTAAATCTTTTGAATTTATTATATTTAAAAAAAATTGTGCTTATTTAAGATTTACAAAGGTGCAATTTCACAAAATTTCATCAGAATTAAATTATTTTTGGAGAAATGAAAAATAAAAAACGAAAAAAAAAAAAATTCCAACCAACTTTTACATGTTTATCGAAAATTTTGAGGTTATATTAAAAAGTGACCTATACAAAAGTTGTAGATTTTTGCTTGAGCCACAACTTTTGCTTTTGACGTCAACTTTTGCCGGAAATTAGGATAATTCTATTTTTTACCGCTTTCCAATCCTCTAAAACTTTAATTCAACCTCCCCCAGATTGCATTTTTTATTTTTTACGTATTACAAGCCCCTCTACCATTTATACCTATCAAATTCCTTTTAACAAACTTATTTTTTTTTCTTCCTATAAACGAGTTAATCTGACTGGTCTATAACATGTTCAATTATCTCCTTCTATTTTATGAAGTTTATTTTCCTGCTACATGTTAAAAAAATCCAAATTTTTGATAATTTTAGAGAACTATTTAGAAATATTTCAATTAGTGTAATTTTTGAAAAAGATATAATAAAATTTGACATGGATATTTTTTTTTTTTCGAAATTTTTTATAGTTTTTGTGTAAATACTTATCGGTGATACAAATATAATTCCCATTCTTATTTTTTTGTAGAGGAAAGCACATGCGATGGAATTATTTCATACAAACTTATTTCATGCCCTAAAATGTGATCCTAAAAATTCTATTACGTTTTGTCCTGTCAGAATAAAAACAGTTTCTCAAATTTAAAAATCCAATAAATCTATGCTGTACTTTTAATGTACAAGAAGTAATACTTGGAAAACCATCTTAGGAGGATGCACAATGAGTCTAATAAGGTCTAAATGCCGTGGGAGTAACCCATCTTCTACACGTTACAGACACAAAGAGAATAGGCAAGAGAATTGATATTTTTACTACAATCTTTAACTCGGGATATGTGCGTAATTCTAGCATAAAATCCTAAACGACATTTTCTTGACATTTTCCTAATCAATAAAAAAAAAATTCAACTTTTATTCATCATAATCATTTGTGCTAGGATTTTCGTTTGCTACCTCTAATTCCAGATCATCGTCATCGAAATTGTTGGAAATATTGTTGCCGCTCGCGTTCGATATCAGAGCTTTCCTCTGATGCGATTTTTTGGGATCGAACGGATCGACTACTATTTGTTCTGTTCCCTTGATTTCCGCCCTACAGAACGGACATCCTTGGCTGCTCTGCCCTTCGGAGCCCTAAAAAAATTAAAAATTATTAAAATTCCAGTAAATATAACCGATGTTTCGAGTTTGTGTTTAATTGCAAACTAATTTAATATTTGCCTGTTTTAACAGATCTATATAAATTATTTTTACAATATATGGATATATTTATTTTATATTGTTTCTTATATTTTTTTAAATCTAATTTCATGAATCGATACCTTAATATTCTTAAACCTTTTTATAATTTGTTAAATTCTTTTGGTAATATACATACATGTCGTGTACTGTTAGATACCGGTGCACAAACTAACCTAATTACTGCTGATTTTTCGGTGAAAATTGGACTTACCTAAAGGGATATTTCAAAAATCATTAGCAAATATTTCTAAAAATGATACTTACTGCCTGCCAAGCCGTTAGACAAGGAGTACACAATAAATGTCCGCAAGGTTCGATGCGGACATCTTTATCGTTTTCGGCGCATATTTTACATAATTGGAATGTACTGCCCATCTCGCAATAAAGTTCGTATTGTTCTTGCGTGACTGCTATGTGGTCTTCTTGGCTGGGTTGAACTGCGTACGATAGATCTGGATTCAAAGGTCTCCCGTCTGGGTATAGGTAACTTTAAAATAAAAATATACTCCTAATCATGTAACTCTTTTTTTTAGTCATTATTATGAAGAAGTGAGTAACAATAAATATCGATCTACAAAAAATGTATCTAAAATAAGCCATGATCAATAAAGATAGAGAGAGACAAGGGATGGGAAAGATGTATGATATATGAAGAGTTGAGTGTACCAAAATGTTATATTATCATAAAAATAGAGCATGGTAATAGAATTAGATGTTCTATCTGCTCCAATGAACATATGGAAGAAGACATATCGAGAGCTACAAGGCAGGACCTCGTAAGTCGCAAAATTGACATTTTAAGAAGTGTAATATTTACCCATATTGTGTTCAAACATTGTAATATTTCCCCTAAACAGTAGATAGAGTGAAATGTTTTAAATAAGATTATCATAAAATATGATTTTCAGTGGAAATGTTAGTTACGAAGTCCTGCATTGTAGTCATTGATATTAATTTTCTTTGTTTACGAAAAATTGAACAGCAACTTTCTAACATGCGCTGTAAAGGCAGAAACGATGGGATGTTGGAAAATCTATTTTTTAGGTTCTATAGAATATTTTCCGCTCTACAACCTTATTCTTATGAAATTTTTCACCAAAGTGAGTAATTTTCATGTAAAATGCAAAATCCGCAAAATATATACATTACTAGCTATTGCCCGCGGCTTTGCTCGCGACTTTGCTAGCATGTAGTCGTGTTATTAATATAAGAAAATACATGTCTACCTTTTTTTTATTAATTTTTATTAGTTTTATTCATTTTCATTCATTTGTATTCATTTGTATTCATTTTTATTCATTTTCATTCATTTTCATTCATTTTCATTCATTTTCATTCATTTTCATTCATTTTCATTCATTTTCATTCATTTTCATTCATTTTTATTCATTTTTATTCATTTTTATTCATTTTTATTCATTTTTATTCATTTTTATTAATTTTTATTCATTTTTATTAATTTTTATTAATTTTTATTAATTTTTATTAATTTTTATTAATTTTTATTAATTTTTATTAATTTTTATTAATTTTTATTAATTTTTATTAATTTTTATTAATTTTTATTAATTTTTATTAATTTTTATTAATTTTTATTAATTTTTATTAATTTTTATTAATTTTTATTAATTTTTATTAATTTTTATTAATTTTTATTAATTTTTATTAATTTTTATTAATTTTTATTAATTTTTATTAATTTTTATTAATTTTTATTAATTCTTATTAATTTTTATTAATTTTTATTAATTTTTATTAATTTTTATTAATTTTTATTAATTTTTATTAATTTTTATTAATTTTTATTAATTTTTATTAATTTTTATTAATTTTTATTAATTTTTATTAATTTTTATTAATTTTTATTAATTTTTATTAATTTTTATTAATTTTTATTAATTTTTATTAATTTTTATTAATTTTTATTAATTTTTATTAATTTTTATTAATTTTTATTAATTTTTAATAATTAATTTTTAATAATTAATGTTTATTTATTTTTAATATTTTTTTTTAAATTTTAGTTTATTTTTATGATACCACCAAACAAAAATCTAAAAACTATAAAGCACGTCATTATTTATGTTACAATTATAATTTTCAAGTTCCAACGTTCAAAAAATTTATACTTCTATACAAATTTTCACCCCCGTTTGCACCCCTTAAAATGTGAAAATCCAAAAACCATGAAACATATGTTTGATTTTTAGTCAGTAGCGTTATTCAAATTTTTATGTTTCAAACTTTAAATAACAAAAAAATATATACATAATATTAAACAAATTTTCACCCCCCATTTTTCCCCTTAAAATGTCGAAATGCAAAAACCCTGAAACACCATTTATTTATGAGAACCTACAATTCCAATTTTCAAGTTCCTACCTTAAAAAAAATTGATATTTCCAAATAAACTTTCACCCCCCCTCCCCCCCCGTTTCCCACCCTTTAAAATGTGAAAATCCAAAAACCCTAAAACACGTCATTATTAATTTATACTCATTAGCTGCAATTCCAATTAATTTTCATGTTTTTAACTTTAAAGAGCACCAAAAACATGGATACTTTTAAATAAATTTTCACCCCCCATTTCCCCCCTGAACATGTGAAAATCCAATAACTCTGAAACACGTCATTAATAATTTGTAGTCAGTAGCTGCAATTTCAATTTTCATGTTTCTAACTTCATAGATAACAAAAAAAATCGATAATCCCATACAAACTTTCACCCTCCGTTTTCCCCCCTTAAAATGTGAAAATTCAAAAACCCTGAAACACATCATTATTTATTTATGCTTAGTAGCTGTAATTTAAATTTTCATGTTTCTAAGTTTAAAGAACAAAGAGTTTCATTAGAAACTCCCTCCCCCCATTTCCTCCGATTTCCCCTATTTAAACTTAAAATTTCCAAAAATCCTTTCTTAGTGGATGCTTACGTTATAAAATAAACATATGTTCCAAATTTTAGCTTTCTAGGCTCAGTCATTTTGGCTGTACGCTGATAGGTCAGTCAGTCAGTCAGTCAGGACAAACAATTTTATATATATAGATTGGTTTTTTTTGGCACGCTCTAGCGGCAAAAATATAATTTGTCGAAAAATGTATAAGGACGTAATCGATAGAAAATCGTTTATTCTTAAAAAAAAAGTCCAGTAAAAATTTTCACGAAAACTCATCGATTTTGAGTAAAATACAAAAAATGAAGAAAAGAAAAAGGCGAAATATATATATATATATATTTATATTTAAAAAATATATAAAAACGTAATCGATAAAAAATCGTTTATACTTAAAAAAGTACAGTAAAAATATTTACGAAAACCCATCATTTTTGAGTAAAATACAAAAAATAGGGTAACGGACGCTGAAAATTGTATATATGTATATATAATTCCTTTTGCCGAAAATTTCTCATGTTTGTGCATAGTGAAATTTTGTGAAAATAAATCAAAACCTTCATTATCATCTGGGTTTTCGATTCAGGGTAATTTTTTGTCTAATTCCCCTGGACTTTATCGCTTTTAAGTGGTTTGAAGATATATCTGATAATATAGTCACCTAGTAACAAGGTCGAATTATATTAACTAATCGCGACCTAAAATTCATATCAATTAAATGCTAATAAAACAGGATGGGAAATAAAAATGAATTTTTCGTGAATCATTCATATTATCACGAAAGGATGTGTATTTTTAATGTTTCATTATCTAACGGACTCTGGCTGATAAGTAAAATGTATCCAATGAATGAATTGGTTTTAATAGTTTTGTTGTATTTTATTGAGATTAAATGGATACTAAATATCCTTTTTTTATACAGGGTGTTAATGAATACGTGTTACAGATTTTTAGGGCATGTACAACATGCAAAAATAGAGTTAGTCCGTCAGATAGTGACAGGTTTAGGTGCCCCATTTTCGCATACAAGCCTCGAAGAGGGTTGAAAAGTACATCGATTTTAAGTAGAATGAAAGAAAATTTACGAGTGGCTGCTGGGGATAACACCTGGAAAATTCGATTTTCCCTAACAAAAACGAAAGGTTATTTGTTACCCATTTTTTCACACAAGCCATTTTCACTATATGATTAATTAATTGAACTAGGCTTCGGAAAACCAAAGGCTTTAATGTTGCAAGTGGCTAAAGGGCTGAAATAAGGGCGTAATCTTCTAAGGAAAAATCGAGATTTTGTCCGATTTTTCTACACAAGCCCATCGAATGTATGAAAACGTACGTCGTCACTAGTTCGAAAAACATATTTTCTTGAATGACCCGAATGTATAAGTGCATTTTGGGGTCGGAAAATTTTTCTGATAAGGAAAATCGAATTTTCCATGTGTTATCCCCAAGAGCCACTCGTAAATTTTCTTTTATTTTACTCAACATCGATGTACTTTTCAACCCTCTTCAAAGCTTGTATGCGAAAATGGGGCACCTAAATCGGTCACTATCTGACGGTCTAAGTGAAAAGTTCATATAAACATGTGCTCTTGGAGCTTTGGTTTCGAAGCTAGAGCTCTTTGAAGATAGCGTCTTCAGGTCAATTTTTTTCAAATATCTTCAGAACACCGCCCTTAAAAAATTGACCTGAAGACGCCATCTTCAAAGAGCTCTAGCTTCGAAATCAAAGCTCCAAGAGCACATGTTTATATGAACTTTTCACTCTATTTTTGCATGTTCTACATGCCCTAAAAATCTGTAACACGTATTCATTAACACCCGATATATATAGATAGTTAATAAAATAAAAAAGGAACAACAATTTTCTGTTAGGTGAATTAAAATCCTTTTTGATAGAGAGTAATTTATTTTATTGATACTAGGGGTACGTAAAAATCCAAAAATCCTGAAATACATCTTTATTTATTCATGCTCAGCAACTGCATTTCAAATTTTCACGTTTTTAGCTTCAAATAAAAAAGTCTGCCCCCATTTCCCCCCTTTTAGTTGAAATTTTCAAAAATTCTTTTTTTCGCTATAAAATAAATGTTCCAAATTTCAGCTTTCTAGACTTATTATTTTTGGTTATGCGTTGATAGATCAGACAGTCAGTCACTCATAACAATAATAAAATATATTATGTAATACAATGAAATCAATTTTTATGCTAATAAAATTAAAATACTTACAATCCTTCCCGATAACCGTCCAGCAACGCCTGTATCAGACTTTTATTTTGAGGTATCGTTTGCAAGATTTCTCCGTCAGGAGTCACATATCCGATCGCCCATTGTCCCAATCTTGTACATGATAACCTAAAAGGGAATAACCAAAATTTACCACGGCATTTGTTTAGAAAGAGAGAGTATCCAATCTTCAGCAACAAGATGATGGTCATGTGCAACATATTAAATAATTATTACCTTTGTATACATGTATACACAATTCTAGTTGTCTAGAAATGAAATAAGAAAAATAATTTTTGAGTTTTTTGGGTATTCTTTATTTATACTGTTTCTGCATAAATAGATAAAAGAGAAATATTAATTTGTTTCGTTAGTGATTCAATATTTTTTTTTATTTTCTACATCTGATTTAAAACATATTTTTGGAATATGACGTGATCTACATAAAATTAAAAATATTAGTATACTTATTTATATTAAATTAAGAATGTAATTGCAGTTAAATTATTACACGAATTTAATGTTTACCTGAAAACATAGCTGCCCGCTTTGTTTATGTACCTCTGCAGTCTTGCTTTTACTTCATCATAGGTCAAAAAAGCCACATAACCAGGATGCGTAACCGCAAGAATTTGCCAGTTCGGTAGCAACGTCGCCCATGGTTGGAATAATCTAAAATCCAAATTGATAAAATCGTATATTTTGTACCAAGTTTTATTTATTAAGTAATTTTTATTTATAAATAATCATTTGCTTATTTATAAATTGTCAATTCGTTTCTTGAAAGAAATATTATAAGTAGGTCAAATAGTTGGTATTTTTAATTGAATCGCTTATTGTTAAAAGGAACTAAGTCACATTTTTACGTTTTTGACTTTAAAACATGAAACGAAACTTTAAAGATATTCCTTTTCGTTTGGTGTAAGAAGGTACCGATAACTACCACTAAAATAGAACAAAAGAAGTAAAAAACGTCCTCACCAAAGTTGCCGGGCCACCCTTGAGCCCGGGAATTAGTCCCGGCTACCCCCCCCCCCCTCTTATCGGCCCTGTTCCTGGGAATTATTCAGGTCGATTACACTTGCAAAAATTAAATTTGTGTTAAACGACAATTTTATTCTAATTTATAGTACAGTGAATTGGTTCTAAACAAAGGGGTAACTTGAAAGGTTTAGAAGAAGTTTCGAAAATTGGTAAGGTAGTGTGGAAATGGAGTTTTTTTTGTCAAAATGCGTGTTAAACTACACATTGCGACACTTGAACGCCAAAACGATTGATTTTACAAAAAAAAAAGTTATTACGTTAGTTTCATTTTGTATATAAATGTTTTTATTGTGAAATGAGTATATTGTCAAAAAACAGCTTCTAGGCACCATTTTTCCAATATGGCGATCCATTTACAAGGCGACAAAGATGAAATTCGAAAAAAACACATCAAAATCTATAAAATTACCCATTTTCAAAACTACCCGAAAAATTTCCAGATAAAACTACCAAATGACTGCACTATAGTTTTCAAAAAATCAATTTTAATTATTGTACCTGCCGAAAACATTAAAATTGACATAACGCATCCGTTTCTTCAGCTACTTTCAGAAGAAACACCTACATACTCATTAATTATTCTTCGGAGGTGGTCGCCTCGACAGTTTCCACATATTCTTTATATTATAAAGTTGCATGTGGTTTTAGCAGCTTCCTTTTCTTTTATCTTTCGAATCGACCATCGAACGCCGAATGCGAAAAGTGAACGAACTGGGAGCGCGTAACATCCTGTATTATCGAATTATTGTCGCCGTTCACACACACAATACGGATTGCGTGGAATGGGAATTTTTTTTGTATAAATTATTAAAATCAAGTCTGGGAATAATAGACGAGGTTACGTTGCAATTCAAAGGCGTACATTAAAATAAAAAGATGCATATATGCTTACCTTGTAAAAACATCAAATTCAAAATTGGATATGTAATCATTACAAGTAAGATCTATCGTTGACTTTAACGCCATCGCCTCTAAACCAGTAGTGATACTATGGACGTTGTTAAGTTGTTGCCTGAATAATTTCCATGGGACCAACGTACTGAAGAAGAAAAATATTTAAATTAATATACAGAAATATAACCAACAAAGTATATACAAAAAAAAAGTTAGGAATGTTTTGTATATACATTTAAAATAATTTTGCCGTCGACAGACCATTTATGATGTATTTTAACGCACTCAAAATCATTGATTAATGACCCCAATTAATGAATGATTTTCTATTAATCAACTATTTTATTATATGCAACCCAACTTACATTGCTCTTATTATACATTTATATTGATAGTTACCTATGGTATAGGTAACCAAACATACATATACATTTGAAATCGAGAAGGTGTCATTGTATGTCATTATTTAATTTCTTAAAATTCAAATATTCTATGTATTGTTTAAAATCAAAAGTGGATATTGACGATTAAGTAAAAATTGAAAATAAGGTCTTTATTTTTGAAAAGTACGGTCGACGGAAAAATTATGTAACGAACTCGTGAATTAAAATGGCAATTAACATTATCTCGATTGTTAATCGCCCTTATTAATACACTTGTTCTTTAAATAACCATTAATTAAATCATTTAAAGGTCGGACTCGTCAATTTTTGATTTAACACCTTTATATTATATCCTCAACTGTCATATGTCATTCCTTTCCTCTCCGCCCCTTTAATTAAAACCATTTAAATAAGTAAAGTACAAACCAAGTATGATACATAAAAAAGTGTTACACACAAAGTGTGAGACTTCATTAAAAGGTAATTTTATTACGACCGATTACACCGTTGTGTTAAACGAAGTTTAAAATGACATTTTTACATTAAGAATGTCATTTTAATCTCCGTTTAACACAACGGTGGAATCGGCACTTAGCAATTTAATTCGTGACATAAATTTGTTGTTTGCGATTGAAGTTCTATTAATAAAATTAGCTTTTTTATCCCGCTAAACACAATGAACAATCATATTGCGGAATTCTCTGTAAAATTACCTTTTTCGATGATGATTCACACATGGTATTGTCCTCATTTAAATTGTATTGACTACATTGACGTAGGGAAGCGGAATAACTTACGACAATTAAAAACTGTCGGATCCGAACGTTTGTCTAAATCAAAGACAACAGAGACGTGTAACTGAATAGGAAAATTTGTTCGGTGGTCCATTTAAATTACATACAGAACTTTCTTTCTCTTTTACATATATTTATCTCTCTCCAATAAAACTAACACCAATCTTAAAGGTACATAATGTTGCTGGTTTTGTGACGTCATCGTATAGATTAGAAGTGACAACTGACAATGTTATGAATGTTGTTATGAACGTGTGAATTTTATTAAAATTAATTTAATTTGGGCCCCGTTTATTTCTTTGTCGTTTAATTAATTTTCTTTGGGGGGGGGGGGGGGGGGGGAATGTTTATTTGCGCATTTTATTTTTTGCATGAAGCTTTTATACATTTTTTAATATACAGTGAAACAATAGTTTTTATTTCTTCCTGTAAATTTGTATAGAAAAACTATTTATTTCTGAATTCATGTTTGAAGAATTTCCCGCCCTATAGCATTTTTAATTTTCCCGTTATTTACTAGTGGCGCCATCATAGACTGATTTACCGAACAAAAAAAAATACATTGAATTACACGTCTCGCTGGGTTGTCTGTCTAAATTATTTACTGATAATAATAGTTCTGTCTAGTTTTCGTCTGGCCACCCTGTATATAAGGATTTTATTTTTATAGTTAGTAATTTTACTGCAATTTTGGTGTAAACCCATAGAAAATAAAGTAGGTTTACTATTTAATACGAAACACAGACAAAACTTGATATTAATACTCAACTATAAAATATAAGAGGCTATGTAGAAGAACCAAGTAATCTTTTTTATTCGACAATAAAATGTTTTTCCAACAATAACGGTTTGACAAAAAAACTACTTGTTGTTTTAAAGTAGGTTAATCTTTTTTACGATACACTCGCCTAATATATAAGTAATTATTTAAGAAATTAAACGTTGATTACCTAATGTAGTTTTAATCAACTTATTATAATTATTATTGTTCTCTTAAATATAAGTTTTTTGTTTCTCTAATATACTAATAAATTACAGAAGGTAAATTAAATTAACATAACCAAACCACAAAAACCTTTGGACAATGTAACTGTATATTTACAAGTTTGTTAGATTTTTTTTCAAATAAACTATAGAGAAGAGTTATTACTAACTGTATCTGTAAAAATGTCGTTTGGTTCACAATTTTAGTACGTGCATAAATAAATCAAAAGGCAGAGGATGGTGGATAGAATTGCGTTATGAAATCACTGCAATGCAGTTAATGTAATTAATAATCAGTACATATACTAATTTTTTATGGATTGATGTCCATTTAATTCGGTGTAGTCAGTTCTGTGCTTGATATATGTAAATACCAAATTTGACAAAATTCTCTAATTAATTATCAAAAATAACAATCACAATAGAACTGAAAAGTTTGAGAAGGTGGAGAAAGTGGAAAAGGGGACGCCCACAGTCTTAATCTGCAAAAAAAAAATGAGGAAGAAAGAGATGATTAAAATAATTATATTTTGAGGAGCTGCTTATTTAAAAATACTACTAACATCAAATTTTTAAGCTCTGCTGGTCTAGGAGTTAGAACGTTAGAACGACTATTCTTAGCCCCAACCGGAGCAATTTTTTTTTTAATTTTTTAAATTTTCATTGGTTTGTTATCATCCGACTTCTTTCGATTTACTACAGACTTTTTTGATACCTGGAATATTTTTATCGTCAGAATTATTGTGTAATAGTTATGATACTGGTAAGAGAAACTACTGCTTCTATAAATGATTAACGGTGGATCAACCGGTCCTGACTGAATATGACAATAATTATAAACCGAACGATTCCATAATAGAAGAGAGGTTACCAATTAATAAAACCAGTTACACAATTTCGACGATAAGTTGTCGCGATGAGAAAAAATAATTATAAAGTTTATGAACCAATTAAAGTCGATGATTGCATGCATTTAATAATAATCATGTGAATAATATGAATAATAGTGAAGAAATGTTTCATAGAACTATGAGTGGATTTTTCACGTTCTAAGAAGATATTTTATTATTTGGCAGACAGACAAATTCTTTCGATATATCCAAATAAATAATATGTTTATATTAGTGGAAAATTAATAGATATGGAGGAATTTACCGCAAGTAAAATTAACAATACATACTATTAAATTTAAATAACATCTGTACATTCAGTATTTAACGAGGGAAAAAATTTACACAAGAAATTTAAATTAAATATTTCTTTTACATCTTCTGTCTATAGTTTGTAGAGTTTGGTTATTTATTTCATTATTTAATAGCAAACCAGACCTTTCATTGTCAAAAAAATCAATATTGTTCCATTTGATTATATATAGAAAGATAACCTTATAATTTCTATCGAATATGTCCCGTTAATTACACGTTTTACTAGATCCGCAAGAGCCGTTATTAAGGAAACTATACCGTCTTTTAATCGACAATTCGTTATTGAGCAATAAGTGCGCGGGCGAATCGGCTTACGATGCGATGCCCGGAGAGCCGGCCGCTGCAATTTTTTCTCTCTAAATGTCAAATTCGTGTCTGAAGAGCGTGCAACTACAAAAATACACACACCATTTTTTCTAGTGTTGAAAATCGATCCGACTCGGTTGAAGGAATATGAGAAATTAATATTGTTCTCTAGCTAAATAACATAATATTAATGTTCTAATGTTATTCTGAGCGCCTAAATGAATGAGTTTATTTTGAAGTAAATCAATTGGTCTAAGAACCGTATTTTTATTGAATTATTATTAACCGATGTAGAAATACCATCCGAATAAGAAGTGTATTTATGCGAGATTCGTTCTCTTAAGTTGTTTATCTTAAATTTTGTCGGTGGTCTAAAATTGTTTCTGTATTTTGAGTTATCTTTTAATACTGTTGACGATATTTTTTTGCTAGTGTAAAATAGTGGTCCATAATCCATGTAAATTTGAATAGAAACATTTTTATTTGAATAAGAAAAACTAAATAAATTACAATTAAATCGAATTGACATTAGCAATTGTTCAATTGTTATCAAGAATATACATACCTAGTCATTCTTATCGATCACTGCTATCTTAGTTGGAAATAATATCAGTTTTGATTTAATTTTCTATATTTTTTAATATCTATAAGAACAGTCGAATAAAAATAATGTATAAAACACGGACGAAAAGTGCATTTTCGGACTCCTACGAGTTGCTAGATGTAGTCGCCCAAAAAACTCAACTTTTCGTCCTAATAACATAAACTACTATCCTGTATAGATTGGCAAAGATATATAATATGGCATAATTTTGTGTCGGGGTGTGTATATACATTTTAACACACTAGTTATACAAAAAAATAACAATTTCCGTAAATAAAGAATGCATCGTTTTTCTAAATTTCTTTTACATAAAAGTCTTACTCCTAACATGATATCTATCCCATTATGCCTTTATTGGTCTTCTCTTAAGAGTTTAATTAATATAAATTAACCATTTTCACAGTCAATTTGATTTTTACACTAGGCCCTTATTTTTAATGGTTATTATTATTGCACCTCAGATAATAAAATAGCTGTGTTACACCCAATTAAAGATAGTTATATTTGTGATGAGAATAGATTTACATTTATGATAACAACAAAAAATTACAGGAAATAAAAATCCGGATGTGAAACTAACTTTTGCTTAAAGCTTAAAGTCGCTAACTTTGATGGAATAAAGGCAGATAACTTTTATTTTAAAATACATTAATGTAAATAACGATAAATATTTTAAATAACTAAATAATTGGAAAATTCTAAAACAAATCTCAAAAATCTTTCTACGAATTATTAAGACTTCACAGTTGAAAACAAATACTTAGATATACCGAATTATTTTCAATTTCTTTCTAATTGTTCACATGAGGCTAGTGTAATTTGTTTACACTACAAGCGTAAGCCACGGTTAAAGTCCGTTATTACCTGTG